TAACCTACCATCACCCCTTAATCTCTTTCACTCTTCTTCACCCCCACTATTTTTCTATCNCCACTTTTCCACTACTATTCTATCAACCAGCGAAGACTTCTTTTTCCCCCACTACTTCGCTAGACAAAAATGAAGCTTCTGTTCAACACCAGCTGTCTCTCTCAATGTTGAAGACATTTTCTTAACATGACAAAGGTAGGGAACGCGCAGTCTATATATTATACGTCTATGGATGCAACGTAAAAAGTCCAGACGACTTTAATTTACGTCATCCAGACGTCGGGCAACGACGAATACGTTTAAAAACTATTCCGCTCGCGCGCGCATTTGATAAATCTGTGATTAAATGCACACACTACTCTCTTGTTTTTAAACTGCTCGCCTATAGAGGTAGCGTAACGCGCTACCTCTATAATACTGCGTATATCCGCAATTTATCATTATATATTTGTAATAGCCAACGTCCGAGGAATTAACAGTGAAATTAGTTAATTTCGAAACGAATGATTACATTTACAGCGCGCTAAATTTCGTAAAATCAATGTGACGCGCTTTATAAATGCTTTTCGCGCTATTTACACACTCCTCGTGTGATTGATTTAATCATTTAGCGAGCGAGAGAGCTTCTTCTCTCTTTATAAACTGTTACCTTCGAGCGTGGCGGTAATCGCTCGCGTTCGATCAGATTTTTCAACGTTACGAGGTCACTAATTGAAGTGGTTACAAGGTGGTTCCTTGTTACAGAGGCACCTCGCGGGACTTATCTGCTGATCGATGGCCGCCGGTTAGATCCCGGAAACCAGTTCGTGCCGGTAAAGGAGGGTTCGGAACTGACTCTCGAGTGCGCCGCCGAGGGTGGAAACCCGCCGCCCGTTCTCGCGTGGGGCATGACCTTGTCTCAAGCGACCTTAGACGGGCCGGAACAACCGCCGGACAACCTTACCGTATTGCCCTCAACATCCGGCAGACGTAGCGGGGCACATCTTAAGGTCCTGAGAGGGCATCATAATGCCACCATCGTCTGCGTCGCGCGTCACATCACGCTGATGATGCCGATGAACGCCAGCATTTTACTCGACGTACAATGTGAGTATATATATATGTATATATATATACAGGGTGTCCCAGAATAGCCGTACAATCTCTCGTAGGCAGATAGAAGGAATAAAACTGAGTCAAAAAGTCCTGAACCATTTTTTTCTATTATTTATAATAAAGGAGTAATTATTGAGTAAATCAGGCCAATCAGCGCCG